CCCCAAAACCCCAAAACCCCAAAACCCCAAAACCCCTTTAAAACTCAAAATTATAGAAAATTAATAAACTTAAAAGAAAATGAAACTTTTAAATGTGCTAATCAGAGAAATACTCTTGTTCCTTGATTTTAAAGATATTCAGAAGTAAGATTTCAGGCTATTTTATAGGTCCAGACTTCATCTGGTGAATAAGCAATTTTATCACAATATTGTGTAAGTGAACTCCCATTTAGGTTTCTGTCAGAACTAAGTCAGTCATCTTTGATAATAAAAGTGTATTAGATATTGTATTTTCTCAAGCTTCCTTTATGCTCAAGCATTCTCTGTTCTTGTTTATTTGATGATGTTTGTCGACAAAATTTAAATAAAATCGGTAATAATATCTTTAGAGAGGACAACGAGCTTATCAGAAGAATGTTTCGTATCCACATCCCTTTGGCACTAGATTATGAAAAAGAGAGGCAATTTCATCTAGAAATTACTACTGCTTGCAAGAATCTTGAAGATGAAGAATTAAAACAGTAAGCACTATTAATGTAATTCTTGCTTGATTGGCCATTCTATCATTGTAGATATCTGATTATCTACTCTTAGCCAGCATCATATTATCTTAATGATCTAATCCTTCCTTCAGAGATGAGAATAACGAAATAAGAATCTATGATAGCTCAGGTTCATCCTTACTTTCAACTTTGGCCAATACCTACACTAAATCTGAAAGACTCCTATTCTTCTGTAAAAGGTGAACAGGAGGATATAATAGAGAATATGAGGTTTTACTGAGAATTTTTGATTTTCCAAAATCATCTAATGATTTCTATCGCTCTGCTCGAGGTAGATATCACCCAAACGGATTACTTTGTATTACCGGAGTTTCCCATGGGAAAGATACTAAAGATCTGCATCATTTGTTGGAATTATTCAAGTTTGTCTACAAAAGCAATCCATCAAACTTTGAGCATAACGATATTCTGGAAACTCTGGTTGATGATGCAAATATACCTAGAGATGAATTGGAAGAGGAACTTCAGATGTATGATAATCCCGAAAGAGCGATTGGATATAAAGTGGATTTGCTAGAGAGTTTGCTTAATAAAGAAATTAATAAAAAAGTTATCTTTGACAGTATTAAATTCATTGATCATACAAACTGTAATGGGACAGAGAGCCTTCATAGTTCACTCCTTGTAAAATTGTAAGATTATCGTTTAGAATGAATGCAAGATTATTGAATTTGACACTTCTCCTTATGATGCATGGATCAGACAGAACCTATTTATCTTGAGAAAGATTGAGGTAAAACACTGGCATCCCAATTGTTTATTTGTTATCATGTCCGTTTAAAATAATAGATTACTTTCTCCATAATTTTCATTATGTATTTAATTCGAGGTGCTCAATAAAATTTAGGGTTTTGGAACAAATCGTTTTGACACACCCACCAGCTCTTTTGCAGTCTTGGTGCATGATTTTCCGATGAACTGTGAGGACCACCCTCTATCTCTGCTGATCAAAAACATTTACCAGCTATTTAACTCAAAGCCAAAATTATCTAAAGTTATGAACCAAGGGACTGACCAAGATGAGAGTAATTTTAGTATTAACTAAAGCTTTAAGAAAATAAAAATTTAAAAACTCCAGATTTGGACGATTTCTCTCAACTCTTACAGAAAAGTTCTAATGCTGGGCTAATCCCAGACATCATTTACTCAAACAGTAGGCTGATAGAATTCGATCAGAAGTTCTACTCTTCAAAGTTTGATCCAAAGCATTGTAAGCTATTAGAATCATTATAGCCAACGAAGAGCAAAAGTTAGACTTCAGCAAATCTGGAATCGCCGAAGAAACAGAGAAAGTAGCCAGACTTTATGAAGAATTAGAAACTGAGTAACAATATATCTGATAGATAGGATGGAGTACTACAGACTAAGATTAGTATGGATTGGATACAATTTACAGGTATGGACACATTACTCATTGTAGGATCTTTATTCTTCTTATAAGTATGAGTTCAAAGAGATAGTTGCAGGGAGATTTGTGACATTTCTTGGTAAGTTAAAAAATTATGAAGGACGATAAAACTAAGTCTTACCACCGAGTTTATTTTAATATTTTTCTTGGAATATATGCAAGGAAAAGAAAAGAAATCAAGTTCTCGATTAGTAAATCTTATTCCTGTAGAGTTTTGTTATGAAAAATGAATTGAATAAAACTTTAACTTGTTCTATTTGCTATGGCTATGATGCAATGAATAGGAGTCTGTATGAAACTCTAATCCTTATCAATCACTTAATTTGACAGATTTATTGTTCTCTCCTAATTTATACATAACCAAGTATTGCTAGTTCTCTTTGAAAACAATGAAATAGTATATTTAAAGAAAAGAGAGCCAGAAGTCGCATTCTTCAATTCCTTAATTTTACAAAATTACATTCTTCTATTCATTTGGTCTTCTTTATTCTTCTTTTTGGTTATGTAGTTGAATAATGGTCTATTTAACGAAATCTAATCTTAGAAACATAGTGCTAGGCTCTGAACACACAAGTCATATAGATGAGTGATTTGAATTCCCAAACATCCAACTTTATGGGCACTTGATTCCCAGTATTCTGCAATTCCAGTCATAATATTCAATCTGAAGATTCTCTGCAGGGGTTTTGGGGTTTTGGGGTTTTGGGGTTTTGGGG